TGGTAAAATTTAGCCGTGGCTTTGAGAATTTTTACTAGTGACGTATTTTACTTTATGCATAAAATCCCGTTGTACCATGGAGATCATATGATAAATGATCGACCTATACTCTACCCTTAATGAAGTGACCAATTAATTATGAGGTAATTGGATCGTAGTATATTTAGCAAGTAAGTGGGAAAATAATGGGAATTAACACTGTCTTTTCTGCAAACCTGACTTTTGTTCTGGTTATATCGATCCCTTACACCCTACCCGTGTTAAAGTGACACTTAATTTTTGTGGTCTGCTGGCATAAATAAAAGTAGGTGGTGGGATCTGTTAGGATTGTATGCTGAAAAAATGTTAAATGTGGCCTGTTGAGACGGCAGTCACAAAAATAATGGCCTATCGGAATGACAGTCATAATACAAAAGAAAATGAAAAATGAGAAAGAAAAAGCATGTTGCATGATTCTATAAACAACTGCGCAGGTTGAAAACCATCACTCCGGGTATACCCCCGGGTTACCCGGTGATCGACGGGTATACCTGGGTATAAAATTTTACCTAGTATAAATTGTAAAAAAATAGGCCAACTTCGTGGTCAAGATTCTTGGGGGTTTTATTTTTAACCGCCCTTGAAATTTCATAAAAAGAGCCTTCAAATGCTAGAGAATTTGAAAATGAGACCAAGGAATTAAACCAACAACTTCTTTATTGTTAAATAAGCCTAAAAAGCAAAATTTGCCCAAATTTTACTTATAAAATTTAGGTGCGTCAATCATTTGACCCCATATTAAAAAATTTATCCCCGTGATCTGCGTGACATGTTGATCAACTGATAAGAATGAGTGGAAACATTCTGGAAAAGGACTCGGCAAAGGCAGATGTTACGGCATAAGTCAGACGTAAGTTAGAAGTTACTATGTAAATCAAATATTCCCTGTAAAAAAAATTAAACCTAACTTTTCCATAACCTCTCCATATGTGAATTCCATGTATTTTCCGTTTGTATTACTAAACAATAACATCCATGTTTTTTCAATAAATGTTGCATATTTGCGGAATATTCATGAAATAACTTTAGTAAAATAATGGAAATTATACAAAACTTTTACTAAGCCTATGTAATAAAGTAAAAATTATACTAATTATGGAAATTAATTGGAGAACATCCTCATATTTATATGATAATAAAAGTTAAATCCATAGAAAATTCCATTATAAAACATAATTTACTGAAATAATATAATAACATGGAATTAATGCGAGAACTTTACTGAATTTTTATGATAATTTATATAAAAAAGCTGGAATTTTTTAATATTATGGAATAAATTTGAAAACGCCATAAAATAAAAACAATATACATATATGGAATAAATACAGAAACATTACTGAACTCCTATAAATAACAAACTATATGCATATGTAATACATGCATCTCGTTAAACAAATCCAATCCTTCTTTTTAATTCTTGGTCTTTTTACCGGCTCTTGCACTATGCGTGGAAATCTTTTTTGCCTTTAGTTCTCTTTTCCTCTTTTTCCCTATATAAAGAATAAATTAAATACTATAATATGAAGATATAAAAAAACAATGTTTTTGTGAAATGATATTCAATGGTATTATTTAAAGTAATGGTTTGAATTCAGACTATAATTCGAAATAATACCACTGAGAATTATTTCACAAAAATATAGTTATTGTAATTTTACTAAGTACCAGAATCTTGAGCACCATCTTCAACTCTTTTCAGTACTGTTTCAATATTATTAAATTTTCGGGCAGAAGAACGAAGGTTGTTTCTTGGTAATGGTGACATGTTATTCTTTGGGATTACGGTACTTTGTTCTATATTTGATAAAAGATCAAAAAATTTTTTTTTGTAATATTAATGGTAGGCCTGAAGTTTTATATCTTACCATTCTGATGATCGTTAACTTTAATATTTGTGCTATGCGGTCGCATGGGAGCTGAATTTCTTTTTTTTTGACTTATTTTTTACGAGGGTTGATGTATTCTCTTGACCAATATCAGCATGTGAAAATGCACTACTTGCAGTCGTTAAAGCATCAGGTTCAAGTACACTCTCATTTATATTATCTTGGTCGTCTTCCGAAATTACAGTAACTTGCTCTATATTTGATAAAAGATCGAATTTTTTTCCTCAAATATTAATGGTAGATCTGAAGTTTTATATCTTACCATTCTGATGATTGTTAACTTTAATATTTGTGCTACACGATCGCATGGTGGCCGAATTTCTTTTTTTGACTTATTTTTTACGAGGGTTGATGTATTTTTTTGACCAATATCGGCATGTAATGCACTGCTTGCAGTTGTTAAAGCATCAGGTCCAAGTACACTCTCATCTGTATTATCTTGGTCGTCTTCCGAAATTACAGTATTTGATAAAGATCGAATTTTTTTTTGTGATATTAATGGTAGGTCTGAAGTTTTATTTATATCTTACCACTCTGATAATTGTTAACTTTAATATTTGTGCTATGCAGTTGCATGGGGGCCGAGTTTCTTTTTTTTTTTGACTTATTTTTCATGAGTGTTGATGTATTTTCTTGACCAATATCAGCACGTGAAAATGCACTGCTTGCAGTCGTTAAAGCATCAGGTTCAAGTACACTCTCATCTATATTATCCTGGTCGTCTTCCGAAATTACAGTACCTTGTTTTATATTTGATAAAGATCGAATTTTTTTTTTGTAATATTAATGATAGATCTGAAGTTTTATTTATATCTTACCACTCTGATAATCGTTAACTTTAATATTTGTGCTATGCAGTTGCATGGGGGCCGAGTTTCTTTTTTTTGACTTATTTTTCATGAGTGTTGATGTATTTTCTTGACCAGTATCAGCACATGAAAATGCACTGCTTGCAGTCGTTAA